GAAGGAAAAGTCCACAGCGACTAAAGTTACTTGAAGATAAAAACTGCCTGAAAATAAAACTCAAGAGGAAGATCTTAAGAGTCTTGGAAAGGTGTTGTCTCAAACCAAGAGGGTTTCTGAGCAAAGATTATTTCGGGCTAATCACTTTTGAGGGTTCCTATTCTGGGTGGACTGGCCAATACCAGGTGTGAATTTTTGAGCGGGAGAAGTTTCTTTTGTTTCCCTTTATGGCCCATTTGCATGTTTTATGGCCGGTCTGGAATTTTTGCAGGTTTGACCCAAAATATAGTACAAATCGTATGATGCGTTTCACAATCACATACTGTTTGAAGAATAAAGAGCAGATAATATTGATACCAAGAAAGAAACCTTTAGAATCGATTAAACCAAAGATACATCCATACATCTGAATATCAGTGTTTAGGACTTTAACTAATACAAATAACGAGTGGTAGCTCAGCTAATCTAATAGGGAAACGTACAAACAACACATGCAATATACCAGATATATTTGTAGAGTATAATAGAGTAAAAGGTCTTTACGTGTGTGTGTGTTAGTTTGCTTGGTCAGCCAGGCCCACTGTGCCTGGCCCCGGGGGTCATTTACGTCTCTTTGGAATGTGTTTGAAACTCCAAAGGGAAAACGAGAGTGGTGAAACTGTTTAGCATCTCCTTGATAGTGGGGGGGAACCAACTGACATTTAGCACCCATATAAGTGTAATGTCTGTGACCAGGACTGTAATTTATATGCAAATGTCAAAAGCTAAAAGGGTCTCTTAAGCCATAAAACCCAAAGATCATGCATGATTCTATGCAGATGCTACACTAGGTTGCTTGAGACAGATATAAGAGAGTTTGTGTAAAACAATCGAATGAAAAAAGATGAGAGTTTGTGTCCTCAATATGAGAAGATTTTGTGTGTTTGTGTGAGAAACTAATAGACACTGTGTGTGTGTGTGTTTTCTAGTGTGGATCATGGATGAGAATTCAGGATCACATCAGGACTCCACAAATGTAAGTCCTCAATCAGACACACAGTTTTCTTGTTTGTAGTTTAGTTGTAAATGTGTGTGTTGTAATGTGTGTGTCTTGTGTTCAGATGCCTGTGATCTCACACTGGATCCAAACACAGCAAATATTTTCCTCATTCTGTCTGAGGAGAACAGAAAGGTGACATATGCGAAAGAGGAGCAGTCATATCCTGATCATCCGGACAGATTTGATGGGAATAATCCTCAGGTTCTGTGTTCAGAGAGTCTGACTGGATGCTGTTACTGGGAGACTGAATGGAGTGGAAATGATCCTGAAATAGCAGTGGCTTATAAAGAAATCCAGAGGAAAGGAGTGAGCTGGAGTTATGACTGTGTGTTTGGATATAATGTGAACTCCTGGAGTCTGATCTGCTCTGATCACAGATTCACTGTCCATCACAATGATAAGGAAACTGTCATCTCTGCTGCTTCAGACTCCTGTAAGAGAGTAGGAGTGTCTCTGGACGAGTCGGCCGGCTCTCTGTCCTTCTACAGCGTCTCTGACACACACACACACTCACACACATTCACACAAACATTCACTCAACCTCTACACGTTGGATTTAGAGTTTATTATAACAACTCTTCAGTGTCTCTGTGTCACATTAAGCACACACACAACTGACTGACACACACACAGAGTCCCCTGCAAACATGTCCTTGCGGGGGGCCCATGCTGGCTTTTTGCGGGCACAGTGGGCTAGGTCCAGCCCACACCATACCTAAACAGGCCCAGTGTGGGCTTGCCCAGGTGAGGCCCACAGCTTTGGGCTCACCGCAGGCTCTCTGTGAGCAGCCTACACTATGGGACTGCCCACATTAATCCAATGATGCCCCAGTGTGGGCCAGATATGAGCCTGTTAATAAGAATTTTGTGGGCAGTTTTCTTCCTTACCACTAGGGGTGCTAGGGTGTTTTAGGTTTTCTTAAGTAAAGCCATGTGGTAGAGAGAGTTAGCAAAAGGTGGCTAAATTGTAATTGAAACGACAAACTGGATTTAAATGACCCATTAAGTAGAACTGAGGGAAAGAGTATTATAAAATCTTGAATGACGGATAAATGGCAACAATACTGGGATGTAAGCGACACAGGTCGACATCTTTATAATATTCAGGAAAAAGTCGGTGTTGGCAGAATGAGGGGCAGAAACAGAAAAGAAGAGGTTTTGTTCACTCGGCTTAGAATAGGACATACTGAATCAGACAATATTCAAAATAGGCAAACATCCAACAGGTTTGTGTAAAAATTGTGAGGTAACTGGTATGTGGCGATAATGCACCTTTAAAATTGGTTGTCAGCCACCAATCAAATCTAAAGAAGAAGAAAACCCAAAACCAAGATGGGATTATAGTCCGGAATCATGACACTGGGCCTTTTCTGGCACTTTTCCACTGCGTGGTATGACTCGGCTCGGCACGGCTCAGTACGGCACGGTTCAGTTTGCGTTTCCACTGCAGTTCAGTATCGCTTTAGAGTGGGCGGGATTATTCACATGTCATTATAGTTGCGCCGCCTCTACTACCACGACTCCTAAAAAAAATGTTTTCATTCCTCGTCTCCCCATCAAGCTCTCGCTGGATCCGCTCCACTGCTATCAACGAGAGGAACGTCTGTTCTTCCGTAATGGACAACAACACTTTTTGGTTGTTAAAAAAAAGGTGCGCTCGTTCAGAACCGTTGCGTTCGATCCTTCGCTGGCTGTGCTGATTTAAATCTAGCGGTTGATTTAAATCTAGCGGTTCTGTTGTGTTTGTGTCGCAAGTTCAGTGACGCAGGTAGTGACGATTCTCTCTCCGGCCAATCCGTGTTCAGCAGAGTTTACACGTCATGTTTTGGTAACGGTACGGTTCACTTGGAACCCCAACCGAGGTGGTACTAAAAAAAGTACCAGGCACCAGGTACTGTACCCAGTGGAAAACCCCCAAAAAGTGAACCGTACTGTGCCGTACCATGCAGTGGAAAAGTGCCATTAGTCACCATAATTTGGTCAAATCGACTCATATAAACAAATATAGTTTTTTGATAGTTGTTTTTTTTTTTTTTTTTTTTCTAATTTTTTTTTTTTTTTTTTTTGGTTTTTTTGTTTTTTTTTGTTCTGTTTTGGTAACGGTACGGTTCACTTGGAACCCCAACCGAGGTGGTACTAAAAAAAGTACCAGGTACCAGGTACTGTACCCAGTGGAAAACCCCCAAAAAGTGAACCGTACCGTGCGTACCATGCAGTGGAAAAGTGCCATTAGTCACCATAATTTGGTCAAATCGGCTCATATAAACGAATATAGTCTTTTTGATTGTTTTTTTATTTATTTATTTGTTTTGTTTGAATTTCTAGTTTGTTTATTTGTTTTGATGGGTTTTTATGGTTTATTTTGTGCTACAAGCCAATACACACCAAAGAAGAAGAAGAGAGTTAGCAATAGCAAGCAGCAGTAGCCAGCAAGTGTACATTTCTGATGTTTTTTGCAGAGATGGTACATGTATGTATGGCCTATGTT